TGGTACATTCGTGGATAGGAATACCCTTATACCGGAATAAATTGGCGGCTACACACGCTATAACTACCGAGGGGATCGTCTGTATTCGTATTTATCAGATGTCTGATTCTGGAATCAGCTTTCGTTTTTGGACCATCACCGATGGGCTGGGTGAACGTCTTCCGTCGCGGGCGCGCGGCGGTGCCCAGCCACAGCTGGTCCATCTTTGGGCCCAAGACGAAGCTGCGCAGCATGCACCCCTTGGAGATGCTGCATGTAATCAAGTTCCCGCACCTGAATTTGGTGCAGACTCGTGCGTCCAACTCATTTCACTGGCATTGTTAGGTTCATGTTTCTGATGCTCCTGCTATTTGTTTGCAGATGTGCGTCCGTCCAAGCTGCAGACGGAGGTCAGAAGCAGAGTTGTGATAGCAAATGTCTAAATACGTAGCTAACCGCTGTGACTACGATCCGCAGTTGATAAGGTGGGGAGCTGTGCTGGGGATCACGTCGGCCACGTACCAGTTCCTCACTAACTTGCACACCGTCCCCATCACTGGACGCACGCAGGTCGTGGTGCTCTCCCGAGAGGAAGAATGTGTACGTCAGCCGCCGAGTGTTGCCAATGATGCCATTTTGTTGTGACTAGATAACTGTGTGCTGTAGGAACTTGGTAACAAAACAGCACTGGAAGAGTTGGCAGGGGCTAAAACTATCGACGACGGACCGCAATTGCAAATGTGTATCGATGTAGCAACGTACGTCCTTCATCCTGTTCACTGCTTTAGCTCATAGCCTCTAACTTTTCTTCATTCTCGGTAGTCGACTGGTGTCCGTGTCGGAGCATTTATTCCCTCGCGAATACGACTGGCGAGTCTGGCTGGTGGACAATCCGTCCTCCGCCAACGCCTGCTGCGCTCCCGGGGGTAAGATCATCGTGCAGACGGGGATTCTGGACCTCATCGACTTTGCGGTACAGAAGGGAATTTGTCATAGCAAGCACGACGCACTAGCGGTCGTGATGGCGCACGAAATCGGGCACGCGCTGGCGAGACACACGGCCGAGTCGATGAGCATGTTGCCGCTGATGTATCTCCAGTTCATTCTGGGCATGGAGAGCCCACTGCTCAAGTACATTTTCCAGTTCGGTACGCACCTGCCGCGCTCGTGTATCGCATCTTGTCGTTGTTGTGGTGCCGTGGTTGAAGCAGACTAATCGCGTGCGTTGCACTTGCAGCCTTCAACTTGCCCTTTAGTCGGTCGCAAGAGGCCGAAGCGGACCACATCGGCATCATGCTGCTTGCTAGCGCGTGCTACGATCCGTCCGAGGCCCCGCGGCTGTGGAAGGCGTTCACTGCCTTCTATGCAGACCCGGAGGCAGGTGAGAACGAGTTGGACATGGATTTCGATTGGGTGTCAACCCATCCGTCCAACCGCAAGCGCGAGCGAGCGCTGGACGGCCTGGTGGAGGCCGCGCTGGAGGTTCAGCGACGCAGTAGCTGGTGTGCGTTCCTCCAGAAGAAGGTATTGGAGTTCGTGGGCGCTAACACAGAGGCCGAGCTGCTGCACCACATCCGCGCAGCCATGACGCAGGCTCAGGCAGAGGAAGCCCACGCCAACGCTGCGCTCCGTCCGCGACGCCGTAACACCATTGGCGCCATCCACGCCTTGGAGAGCCAGGAGATGCTGAAGATCATCCATGACGAGGCGATGGCGGACGGAGAGGAGCAGCAAGTGGCAGTAGCCAACACATAGCATTTAGCTTCAGCATTTAGTGCACCTGCGTCTCGTAAGAATCAATCAGCATCGCTTTCTGCATGGGAGAAGTCGACAGAAACACGAGACGAGGCCTTCTTTTACCGCGTACAGTTAGCATTACAGACTCGCTTCGTGTGCAGCTCGCAGCTCGCTCCACTTCAAGGCAATCTGCAAAGCATCAGAAAGCAGCAGGTGATGATAATAATTTTGTTTTGCTGGCTCGATTGAGCTTGTCACAGGCTTGTGCTCTGTTGAAAGTTGAAGTCGAGCAGCGAACTTGCATCAAGAAGTTTGATACCAAGACGCCACTCAAGTTGCATGTTCGGTGGCACCTGCGATAAATGTGCGTTTGCGATCCCCCAACAAGAAATTCTCACTGACGTGGCGTACGGTTACAGTTTCCGGCTAAGAATGTCGTTGATTGACGTCACGCAGAGTGTAGTTTTGCCACATGTAGGAGCTCTTATATTATTCGTTTCAATTATTGTACGCATGGAAATCGTCGACGCCTTTGCGACGTCTTTGGCCAGTTCTTCCGCCGTGCGCCATCAACTTCTCTCGAGACGACAACAAGCTACACAGCGGAGAGAGAAGGTCTTGCATGGGGTGAATCTACAATCCTGCTTCGCAGGACGGAAGCGAGGTGCTATCGGAGGGGTGCGGAGGAGCTGCGCTGCTCGCTTGCATACTTGCTTGCGTTTATATAGTGGAAAATGCGGGAGCTGTGTGGGGTAGTTGGTAGTGGTGCGGTTGTGCTGGCATACTTTCGCTAGCACACCGAATCCATGGCAGCGAACTGCTCCGAAAGCGTGCGGTTGAGCGAGCAACGCGAAACCGGGTGGTCCAGATCCACCTCGTCGTGCAGGTCCTGGCTGTTGTTGCTCTTGGGACTGATCTCCTCCTCCATCTCGGGCGTGAGTTCACAGAAATACTTGCCGTTGCGCACGTTGAGGAAGTCCATTAGGATCTGCACGACGCCGCGGTGCGTGCTGCACTGCTCGATATCGGCAGGCTCGGCCTTGCGCAGCTTGGCCAGCACGCTGTTCAGGAAGTCGTCGAGAGAGTCCTCATCGCACACGCGCACGGGGCTCAAGGTGCTGCAGGAGGCGCAGACCTCGCAGCGGTCGCTCTTGGCGCGGCACATGGCGCCCACGAGGCGGAACATGTCGAGCACGCTCTTGAAGTCCTCTTTGCTCTTGTAGACCGAGGTGCTCTTGCCCTTGCAGGCCACCTTGACCTCGAACATCTTGGTGCCGCCCAGCGCATGCGCCTCCAGTACAGTCGCGCTCAGTGTGCAGACTCCGTCCTTCATTGCGGTTGGTGGTGGTGGCAGGATACGGCGACGACGCGGACTTTTGGCAAATGGAGGCAACAGCGGCAACTGGAGCTGCTCGCGAAACGAAGGGCGGCCAGCGCGCCGCGCTCTCTTGACGCGCCCATCGCTTGTACCAAATGCCCCTCCTGCGCTGGAAGATCACTTGGATTCAGTATGGCCGACTCGATTTCACTATGCACCGTATGCTTGACATTTTCCGCCAATCAGCGCACGAGAGAGCAGACGAGACAGTATTGTCACGTTTTTTGAGACCTGCTCTGGCTATACGCCTGTAAAAGAAGCCCGAAACGGCCCGACCCGCGGGTCACCCGGGCCCGAGCATCAGCAAGGAAGCCGGTGGCATGCCGAGTTTGCAGTGCCAACCTTGCCACATTCACGTCCGCCAAGTTGCATGGCGAGGCAACCCACATTATTGACTCAAAGAGTCTTGCGATGGAGGTGATGATGCGAGCGGCAACCGCTTCTTACCGCGGACCGCCGTTGGACCGTCAACTGTAGCACAAGTATCTTTTGGGAGTCCACGGCGCGATTGTTGGCCCTGCTACGTATTGACGGCACCAGCGAGCGAGCTGCTGCCGTCGTGCATGTGCTGAGCTCTACCGCTTACTTCACTATCGCCTTTGCCTCGAGCTGGCAATCGCAGCCCGCAGCCACAACGCCGGCGAGCGTCGACGAAAAGTACACGTATTGTCCCCATCTGTGTGAGGCATCCGGAACGCGGCTGCAGTGGAGCCGCGTTTCCCGATTGCAGATGATGGACTGACGGTCGGCCCCGCGAGGAGCTTTGCGGCAAAAAGTTTGCCTGGCGTGTTCCGCTGCGGCAAATCGGCTGTGCGCACCGTCTAGATGACTACAAATGCTGTTTGTTTCAAGCGTGACTAATTGCAGTGACCGAGGGGGCGCATGCTTCAGCTGAGGCAGATTCTGTTCCTACATGGCGCTATGGAGAGTATGCTGAAACCCAAGCACGTTGTACTGGTTCCTGGAGATGCCTGGCGCTCGGATAACCCCCTTATATTTCACTCTTCATCGAAAATCGGTTCGGTTTTAGGGAACCGATCTCATGGCGTCCGTCCCGCCTGGAACTGTGTGAATAGCGCGACGAGTCTCAATTCCACGCTGCACTGTCACATTTCGAGTAAGTGCGACTCCATATCAGAAAATTTTTAGGTATCCGCTTGGTCAAGCCGTCGCAGTCCACACACGTCGGCCCGCGTAAGACTTAAACTACATTATGTTCACTAGTACTTTGCAAATGCAGTAGGCGAAGGCTGATGCAGTCGTCGCTAATATATTGCATAAATTGCATGCTTTAGACACCCGCGTTTCCCACAGTTTCTGAATGTCAGTGCGATCTTTAGTGGACGCAGTGGTGGTACCGACGACGACACTTGATGTACAGCATCCTCCTGCCTTGCGTTTCCGGCAGCGCGCGAACCCAAGTATTGAAGTAACAGAACCAAGCAGCACTGGTTGCTTGCTAACGAGAAACAAAGACAAAAACGGCTGCTCTGTTCGGGTGGCATTAACAACAAGCATTTGGTACCTAAAGTTCTAAAGGACTACACGCTCAGGCTGCCATCAGACAATCTTCTGTGGCTCTGAAGGCCGACTCGGCCCATATGCCGCATAAATTTAGTTGCTTTAAATATGGTTTTACAGTATCTTCCGGTATGTATTATCCAGGATAGGGTGTTTCAATGGGCAAGATCGCTTGATGAAAAACGGTTCTCCGCCGAGATTGGCTCGAAAAAAAAGTTCCGACAAATAGAAAAGGCCTGTAGATTGCGAGAAGAGCTGTGTACGCTGTTGATTATGGATCCGCGCACGGCAAACGAGAGATGACAATCGCCTGTCCAGCATGAACAAAATGAAAAAGCTGCAAAACTGCGTTTTCCAACATCTTTTCTTGCACTCGTGGGCCACCTGAGCTGTAAATGTGCAGCATTGCAGATTTTCCTCTGTTCTGAAGTCCACTGACCTATCCAAACAAACTGTCGACTCCCTTGCGCGATTTAACAGCGTCCTCGGGTGTTCCCGGTGAATCGTTTGCTCGCATTTAAAGCACCCCGTCACAAGAAGCGGAGTTTACAACTTGGAAAGCTTTGAAAGCATGAGCCAAGGTAAGATCATGAGATCTGGAGTGAAGGCGATTTCGTTGACTTGGTACAGTGTAAAATACACGGGCATACTACTAGTAGTATCTTGCATCGGCTCGTCTACTAGTCTTGAAGAATTGCCTCTGAGAAACACATTGACTCAGGAAGAGCTGTAGCGTACAGATTGTTAGGCACGCCACTGCTGTACAGGTAGCCCTCGTCGTGCGTCGAGGAGGCTTCGCGCTATGGTAGTTCAACGTGTACATCATCAACGGTCGTGAATTACCAAGTTTCATTTGTTTTTTGCAGCTTCGAGTCGGAGTTCGACTGAGCACTTGAAGCAGTCATCGCGCGACACGCAAGGGAATAGCTTCAACATGACGGTCTCTCACAGACAAATAAGCCTGACAGGCTTGCCGCTTTTGGCAGAATGACAGTCGGGTTCAAGCGGCACTCTCACAACGGAGTATGTGGCGCGAGCGTACTGAAATGGCCTCACATCCACACGTTGAGTCGCGCTGCAAGGATACACAATACCCCCTCTGATTCGCGAGTGCAAGCAGCTAAGTACTTATTCCTCGAGGTGATCGTGAGTATCCTATGGGACCTCGGGGTCTGATCGTCGCGACCAACCTTGTCATGATCATGAAGGACTACTACTACAGCCAGTTCTGGATTGTTGTTGAGCACAAGCCATTCATCAAAGGGCTTCGTTATTGTCGTCGCCGGGTATCGCGATAGAGTGACGGGACTCGCCAGGTATTCGTTTTTGAAGACTCGTCAAAGCAGTGCAGTAACTCGAATTACCAGCACGTTGCAAATAGATGCAACTTCAAAACAAACCAAAGAGTGAGAATTTAATTGTAAGTCCAACCCATGCTTCCCAGATCCATGTTAATGGTAACGCCGATTTTTGTGCGTCTTGAGGTCCCAGGCGCGTATTCAGCATTGGTGCTCCATAGAATCAGCTTTTCTGCTGATCACAAAGTTAAGCAGATAGATCTTCTCGTCACCTCCCATTTTTTTTACTGACATCAGTTTGATGTTAATTCATTTGGCAGTGATGCAGAGAATATTGAACCGGGAAGTTGGGTCCAACAATATTTCTCCCGTTTTGGCTTTGTGGAATGAATGCATTTGCTTAAAGTTTGGTAAGTTTAGACAACCCACATTGTCTCTATTGACGAGCCCATTGAATTCAGCATCCCCTCCATTGTATTCCATACGCGAGGGAACAAGTAGAAGCAAGGATGACACTAATCGAGCAACACGAGACCATTTTACCACTAAACGACGATCTCCGAGAAACTGCACACAACTTCGAGATGTTATTTTGGTTCCGGCAGCGTAATCTCCTCCCAACAAGGAGAGTTGCGACCGATGTCTGATCAAGACCGCAAGCTCTGGTTGGATAAAGCAACTCCAACAGCGCAAAAGCTGTCGTATGCAGGCACGCATCACCACTACGAAGAACGGAACCCGTCGATATTTTCAAAGATATTCCATTCTCCGAAGGTGGCCCCAAGTCCGCATCTAGATCTGGTTCCAGCCCTCGTCTCAACACAGGCTACCCCACAACGTGTAGTGCCATGGCGAAATCAGAGAAACGACAAGGAACGGCGGAAATCTACTGAGACTGTTCAAATACCGGCAGGCCTCACTGTCCGACAAACGTTCGGTGCTCTTGGAATTCCGCTGTTAGTCGTCGTAGTCGTATGCATCTTGTGGACATCTTTGCTCATCTTTATCACTGTGGCACCGAATGAAGCTGCCAACTTAATCATGAACACCGGCGACTATGATAATGGAAGTTTCTGGCTTATTGTGGAGCATCCTCCTACTTTAAAGTGGATCAGCGTTGCGGGGCTTGTTCTGGTAAATGCGTGTTACATCATCGTGCTCGTCAGAATACTGCGATATCATCACACGGCTGTGGGAATATGTCAACCAAGTTGGAATTCGGCTGTCGCAGCCGCATGGGACTCCTTATCATCATGCTGGCTACTGCGGTGCACTCCTGCTGTAAAAAGCAAATTGCAAAATATTTATCGTATCTACACCGAACTGACAGGATTCAATGCAATCAACCGTAAATTATTCGTAAGTGTATTCAGGTACTTTCGAGCTTCATGTCTTCATACTAAGTGTGCTGGTTTGAAGAATATATTTCAGAAGGCTTGTGACTTGGTCGTGCAAGGTCTCGCACTACGCCGTTTACTCAACCAAGGACTCCCCATTGTGTTCGGGTACGGGTATGCTTCGTTTATCGCATTGAATGGGTTATCTGTGGCAGTGAACATTATGCTGGATAAACATACCGCTTTTACTGAAGTTCTCATAGATTCCGTGTACGTAACCTCAACCGTTTTTAGAGTTTCTTTTTCCCATGCTCACATTGTGTTTGCCTAGGTTCGACCTCACAGCAGCCGTTGTGTACCCCATTGCAGTCCTGGGTTACTGCTACCACAACTTCAGCTTTGACCGCGATGTGTATTTGGTTAATGCAGAAATTCTCCCCGATGGTAACTTCGAGCGGTATGCACGAATGCAGGCAGATCCAGCTGAAGTCGCTCTGTTCCTCGTCAACTTCAATTCGCTACGGATTAGTGGAGTGCTGGACTTCATACTGAGCGTCGGACTGAATCTCTCGTTTTGCTACCGTTTAGTTCGAGTGATAGCAGTGATTATCTCGCAAAGGTGCCAACTTCGAAGCACCCGACCCGTGTCTCCCCAAAAACTTACAGAAGTTACCAAGCGACAAAAATCAGTGCCGCGTTTGGTTGCATTAGCTTTCATCGCTGCCAGCATCTGCGCAATTGTCTTGACTCACACAGCAATTACGAGCTCCCGCGCTGCCTGCGAAACTTATCCAGAATGTGTGGCGTATGCCCACATTTGGGACACAGGGAACCAATGCCCTTGCATCGTAATAATCGACGGCGATCGCGCCCCACGAACCGCTCAGGAATGGAACTTCCCTGAGGACATGACGGACACAGTTCGTGTACTAGCAGAAGCAGGTCGTTTACACACATTGCAACTGATCAACCGCCAGTTGCGACGCTGGCCGGACGAGTTGCGTCGCTGCAAGGACATGAAAACGATGCAAGTAGAGCAGAACGCAATCATCATGTTGCTTTTCTTTGACTGATTATCTTGTCTTGTGTTTTAGCTCCCTGATCTACACCAGTATCGAGGAAATTCCAAGTTGGGCTAAAGAATTCAAGCAGCTTCAGCATCTGTACGTGACTAGAAAATTGCCGTTTGATCCGTGTATGCATTCCGAGTGACACTGAAGGGTGAAAATTCATGTACAGGCACCTAGAAGGCAAATTCGGCAGTCGGAATCTCGTAACTCTCCCCTCAGACATTTTCAGCGATCTACCAGAGTTCACCTTCCTGCATCTCGGCAACCACCACAGCCTCGTCGCACTCCCAGCTTTTGACGGCACTCCAAATTTACGCAGCATGGTATTGGCAGTGCTGTTGTCCCTCACTGAACTCCCGTCTTTCGACAACCTCCCCAACTTGGAAACCATGGCTCTCGCACATATCCAACAAGTACCAGCCGTGCCCGACATGTCTCCACTCATCAGTCTATCTCGCCTAGCAATTTTCCGTCCAAATCACATGTGCTGCAATGGATTCATGGGAATTTGTGACCTCACCGACACGTTTTGCGTGCCGGATCTGGCGTACAATGTCCCTGGCGCCTCTTGTCTCGACTCGGACGACCACCGACACGCTACAACTGCAACTAAAGCGCTACTTGCAAGATTCTCCGTTGCAGTCTGCCAAAAATCGATAATTCCATTCTCTCTCGAACGCTTATCCGATTTTCCAGCCCCCGACCGGATCGCTGCGTGCGACGGAGTCATGTACCGTCAGTGCGATATACCGGGAGTAACCTCCGTCAATGGGACTGTCGGGATGTGCTACAGCAGTCGCATGCAAGTTGTGGCTTGCAACGTCGATCAGCTTTTCATCAAAGTCCGGCAAGTGGAGATCGAACGGGGCGTCGGTCCTCCTTGTGATCCCGAGGTGGAGGCTTGGCTCGGCTGTAAAAAGGCAACTTATAGTTGAAACCACAGCCGTCTGCTGTAGTTCGTATATCGTTATCACATTTCGATCATGGTGAATACATGTTGCAACTCGGTTCTCTTTTTGGTGTTGCTGACTGGAACGAAAGTGCTCTTCTCAGTTTTGGCAAAGCTTTGAGCGGGGCCTCTCACTTCAAATCTTACCCTGATTGAAGCTCATCTCCCTTTTGTGCACCATAATGACAATTAAAGTTGCCCATTTCAATGCTTGCGCAAAATAAACGCAACTTAAACATCCATCTGTTGCCGGTGGGGTGCTAGCAATGTTCTTGTGGTGTGAAAAATCTTTGCCAACCCGTCGACGTACACGGTCAGTCTGACAATCTCTACCCCGCCGCAACACCGCGATCTTCTTCTTCTCTCTTTAACGACAATAATGTCCAAGACACTTAATGTGGGTCTTTTCGGCTGTGGCACTGTGGGTGCGGGAGTGTTCGACCTGCTGCACAGCCCCGTGCGTCGCCAGAAGTTCGCGGCCATGGGCGTGAACGCTTTGGTCTCTAAGATCTGCGTGCAGAATCTGAGCAAGGACCGCGGATTGAAGCACTTCTCGGCGTCGGAGACCAAGTTCACGAGCAAATACAGCGACATCCTCGAGGACAAGAGCATCAACTGCATCGTGGAGCTCATGGGCGGCGTGGATGACGCCAAGGACGTGGTCTTCAGTGCCATCAAGGCCGGCAAACACGTCATCACGGCCAACAAGGCGCTTGTTGCCAACTTCATGCCCGAGATCGTGCAGCTGCTGCAGGACCACCCGGACGTTCGCTTCGGCTACGAGGCCGCAGTGGCCGGTGGTATCCCCATCATCCACACACTGCAGAACGCCTACAACTCCGACACCATCACAGAGATTGCCGGCATCATGAACGGCACCACCAACTATATGCTGTCCAAGATGGAGGCAGAGGGCGTCGCCTACGACGCTGTGCTTAAGGAGGCGCAGGATCTGGGCTATGCTGAGGCCAACCCTAGCGCCGACGTGGACGGATTCGACGTCCAATCGAAGATTGCCATCTTGGCCAAGCTGGGCTTTGGAGGAATTGTTAAGCCTTCGGACATCCCGACGGTGGGCATCTCCCGTGTCTCCTCGGCCGACTTTGAGTACGCCAAGATGATGGACAGCACCATTAAGTTGCTGGGTGTGGCCAAGCAACTTAAGCCCGCCGACGAGAAGACCGGCAAGCCTCAGGAAGTGACGGTGTATGTGTCGCCGGTTGTGGTCAAGCGTAGCAACGTCATCGCCAGCATCAGCGGCGCCACCAACCTCGTCAATGTGCGCTCGGACAACCTGGACAGCAGCGCGTACGTCGGCCCGGGCGCTGGTCGCTTCCCCACGGCCAACTCGGTGATGAACGACATCATCCAGTTGGCACGCGGCGACGCCCCGCTCGACCCGTTCAAGGCCTCGGTGCCGCTCACGCTGCAGCCCGACTACGAGGCGCACTTCTACGTGCGTCTCACTATCACCGACGGTCTGGGTGTCATCCGCTACGTCGGCCAGCTCGCCGAGGAGAGCGGCGTGTCCATCTACTCGATCTTGCAGGCGCCGATCGTCGACCGTGCGAACGTGCAGTTCGTCGTCACTACCGAGACTGCGCTGCTGTCCAAGGTGCGCTCGATGTGCCAGAAACTCGCCGCACTGCCCTTCGTGCAGGAGGAACCGCTGTACTTGCCGATCATGTAAGTGCGACCGTAAGTAGTGAGCACTAAGCGCTAATTCATTCAATACATGCGTCCCGGATCGGCTTCTTCAATAGCTCAAAACTCACGGAAATATATTGACGCAATTGTTACGGAGCGTTGTCTACGATTCGTAGCGCATGTTGTCCGGTCCGGTGAAGGAGAAGGCGGGTCTTCCCCTCCAGATCATCGTGTCGGTGTGTTCACGGTTGGTACCTCGGTAACGTGCACAGATCAACGATAAGGAGTTGATGTAGTGGTTTCGTTCAGCCGGATTACCTGCGTCCTCGGTTTTACTACCACGCCCGCCTGCACACCACTCGTCGTCGGGGATATCGGACTTGTAGCTGGCCGAACAGCCTCGTCCGTACGAGTCGGTGCTGAAGCGTTCCATGCTGCAAAAGCCGCTTGTTGTCGCGGTCTCCATCATGGAAACACCGCTACGCTCAAACCACTTGGCGAGGGATTCTTCTTCGTCGAATCCTCCACCATTTCCATGTAATGCAGCTCGAATGACAGTGTTCCACTGCTCGTAGACTGCAGCGTTGGGTGCGCGGAACCACACACGCTTCGATCGCCAACCGTACTCGATGCCGATCATTAACTTTCGTGAGTCCTTCGCCTTTGTCGATAACATTCGCACAGGATGCATGCGTCGATCTAGGGAAATTGCAAGTGCTGAGCTGCCAAGACATCCACGACGACGGCGGACACACATGACCGCTGAGTATTGCTTGAATTGCTCCGTTGATAGTTCGCTAGAGCAGATGAGTTGTACGTGCACCTGGCGCCTGAAAGACCGACAAGCACGTCATGTTTTTTCGAGACTAATACATGTATTTTGTTCGGCGAGAACTCACCAAAATACTTCACAGACTCGCATCTTCATTGCACTGGCCAGCGTCACAAATGATGGAGTATCGAGACAGAAGTCATCCATGTACAGACTGGCTTCGTTGTTTGGAATGGTAGTCACGGTGGCATGAGCTCGTGGATTGATCGGCTGGAGCGTTCCACCGACACTGCTCTTTCCATCTCGGACTCTTGCAGAGCTGGATCCCCAAATCTGTCCGTCTCGGTGGATCGACTGCGACGACGAAGACAGCATAAGGATCGACAATTGTCTCCTCTTACGCCTTGGCCTCTCGTTTGAACAATGAGAAAAATCGGATCAAAAGGTAAAAGTAAATGCAACATCAAGCAAGCGTCTAGTCAAGGCGCCACCACACATCGCAGCCATGAAACGTCTTCACTGGTGGAGAACACGTTGAGATCTTTGTAGATTTCCTGTCGCCAATGTTCTCCCACTATCTATCTACAACGACAAGCTACTGAAGATCAACGTGACGTATCGTCAATGAAATGCGCGTACCCACTAGGATGTTGTCAATACTGTGCAAGTAGCGCGCATAGGCTTCTCCGGTGAACAACAAGAGACTACGACGCTCCAACTGGAAATCAAAGTGTTGCACAATCTCACTCGTATCAGTCGCCGACTTTGAAACTGTATCACTATCGACTGACGCCAAAGCACGATGCAGCTCAAACGTCACCCGGCATTCAGCACCAGTGCTGATAATGGACACCAGAGGGAAATACGCAGGTCCGTCCTCGTGTGGCAAGATGCAGTCCCCCACACCATATGCTATGCATCAGGTAGTGCACAACCGGTTAGTTCTACATGGAGTGACATGTTTAGGCCACTGGAACTTACCGTTGATCAGCGCGTGGTTGGGCTTCTTTTCTTCACTGAAAATCCCAGCATCCACTAGTGTCTGGCTGATCTGGTTTAACCATTCAGGCAGTGACTTGGGGTCGAATGGGACCTTGACTTCCCCTCCCCACATTTGCAGACGTCGATGCTTGAGTGTGACCCAGAGATCGTTGTCGTCCGGAACAGCATACACTCGCTCCAGAATGGCCGCCTCCTCGTCCTGCGTGATCCAATTGGGAATGTAGTACACTCCAGGGATCGGTCCTTTGCGAAACTCTTCGATTTCAATTTTTGATCTGGACAAGTAGCCATTGATTTAATTATGTACGCAATGCAGCTTTCCAAGTGCTTCACCGAGGATTCCTCACCGCTTTGCCCAGACATTCAGTGTTGCTTGTTGCCATTGCAATAAACGTTCTTCAGTTTCTTTAGACTTGTCCGTGGCTTTTGGCGCAGCATTTGTGTCGGCATTTGACTTGGTTTGTGTTGCCTCCCGTGCACGGCGGCGTTCCTCACGTAGCAGCTCACGGAAGTCCATTCTGAAATGTGTCGCTCGAGAGATGATTAGCGAAAAAACCCATTTTGACCAATGAACAGGCTCTATTTTGCCCACCCAACAATTGTGAGTCAGGAAATTTGGACCGCCGAAGTTAGAAACCTCTCAATGGTGATTTAGTCCTTTGTTTTATTTTTTCACACGACGTTCGAATCCAGCATGTGAATTTGCTGAGACGCCAACTCAAATGAAAGATGCAATCGCAATGACGAGCAAAATGTCTTTAATAATACGGAGCGATAGTATCATGGCGACACGCACGGCAAATTCTTGAATCGTGGACATTTCAAGGTGGTCTATTTTTGCTGTATGCATAGCTGCTTCTCTTTCTGGCAGGAATCAGGTACTACCAATGAAACGTGGCGCTAGAACCTGAAAAACAAGATGCCTGGAGGTAGGTGCTCTCGGTTTGGATGTAGACTCTAACATTATAGACCCCGTACGCTGTAAAAGAGTTAGTTCGTAGTCTCGGGGACGTACGGATCGTCCTTCATCCACCGGCTCACAATCGGGAATTGGTACGTGTCCAGGAGGTCGTTGACTTCAGGAAACTCCTTCAGAATCGTAGCGCGCAATTTCTCGTCAACGACCAAGTGGCCTGCAGCATTGAAGTGGACTCCGTCCACCAACAATTTGTCTCGCGCAGCCACCGTCATGGCGTTGAAGTGCGAGTACAGGTCCAAAACGGGGACCCCAGTCTTTTTCGCAGCCTCCACACAAGCCTGAGCGTACGGCTTCACCACTGCGTTAGACCGGTCCAACAACCCTTTCTTGGAATCGGTTCGTTCCGCAGCAGCCTTCTTTCGGGCAGCGTCACCGACGTGATTTGGCGTGACAATCAAGATTTTCGAGTCGGGTGCCACCTCCTTGAATCTCTCCACGATTTTAATGAGGTTTTCCTTGTAGTTTGCAACGGGAACGTGCATCTCAGTGTTACTACCGTTAACCAGCACTGCGTCGTTTGCACCCAGCCAGAGCGTGATAAGTGCTGGGTTGTAGTCCCCCCTCGTGATCTCTTCTTCGATGCCGGGCATCGCGTACTTGAGGTACCATCTGAAAGTGGTCGAACAAACTGGTGAGCGAGATGAACATTTCCAAGCAAGCAAAAGTGCACGGTTTTACCTGGTGTTGTATCCCGAGAGAGCACGCACGATCATATCGGCGGAGCGCGAGTATCGGCCCGCCAGAAGGGAGATGAAGCCGTCCACGGATGGTTCAGTAGCTTGCTCCATGATCGAGTCACCCGCTAGTAAAACCGCCGTTCGGTTCTTGAAACCAGAGTCCGACGCTGCGGAGACCGTCTCAACAGCACTCAGCACACACGCTGCGACGGCGAAGTACGTTAGAAGACCGCGGAATGATGCCATGGCGCCTCGCCGGCAAATTAAAAAGTGAGCGTTGGTCGAACAGCACAAGCCATGATGATGATGCCTCGATTAACGCTCACTTTGATGATCATCGTCGAGTCGAATTTGCAAACGTTGAAGGCTCGTGTGGATAATACCGACCCATATGGATGAATATCATCAAGGTGCCGACACATAATTTTATCATCATTTAAGTATAGGAAAATGGCAGCAGTGTGCGCCTTATGACCAATGACATTCATCTATGTATCTAATCTACCAATAATATCCACTAGGGGTAGGTTTACAGGCTACCGACATTGTGCCGACGTATAATGTAGGCACGGAGGGCAGAATATGCAGCGGCTCAATACGAGCCACTAGTTCAGTCCACATCACTGGCATATTTGCGCTCTTACCGACAAAACACTAGAAACGAGTATGAGCCTTCAAGACCTCGCACCTGCCAACTCCCAGCGCGCTCGCCAAACAGCTATCAACGCATTTGGCCGGTTCATCGCTGCGGAAGGAGTCACCATGGACTTCGTCGCAGCCTCCCTCCTTGGAGACGGAAGCGGAGCGGTGTTTGTGAAGCTCATGGATCGCTTTGGTGTTCATCTAGCCTTTATGGAGGGACGAGGAGGGAAGCCGCTGGCTAGGAACTCTGTCATGAGCTATTACCGTCACGTGAAGAACTGGCTGCTCGACACCTACCCGAAGCACCGCACGGCCATCGAACAGAAGCTTCTCAAGATGGGCCAGACGCTCGAGCGCCACTGCCTTAAGAGAGTCGAAGGTGGAATGGTCAAGAAGGCACCTGCGTGTACGAAGGAGGACTTGCGTATTCTGATGGATGGACTCTACTATGACGCCGCCAGTTCCAAGGACTACCAAGACGCGGCCTTGCTTGCACTGATGTGGTATGCGTTTGGTCGTGCCTCCGACCTTGGGTTCGTGGTCAAGGGCAATCTTTCTGTTAGTGCCGATGGTGTGGTGTTCGTTAGGCTCATCCGGGTGAAAACAGCAGAAGAACAAGGGATTTCACTTTTCCCCGACAGGGACAGCTTCATAACGTGCCCTCTCCAT